TTTGTAATTAAATTACGTAATTCCGTTACATGTAACTAGTTACTCCCCAACACTGGGTATATTTATAGCAATAGCCAAAAATACATTGTATGGGTCAAAATGATTGATTTTTCTTTTATGCCAACAATTATTAGGATATTAGGTAAAGATCATGTTCCATAGGATATTTTGTAAATTTCCTACTGTAAATATATTAAAACTTAATTTTTGATTAGTAATATGCATTGCTAAGAACTTCATTTGGACAACTTTAAAGGCGATTTTCTCAATATTTAGATTTTTTTGCACCCTCAGATTCCAGATTTTCAAATAGTTGTATCTCGACCAAATATTGTCCTATCCTAACAAACCATACATCAATGGAAAGTTTATTTATTCAGCTTTCAGATGATGTATCAATCTCAATTTTGAAAAATTGACCAATATGACTGGTTTTGTGGTCCAGGGCCACATATTAGAATTATTTCTGAAGGATCATGTGACACTGAAGACTGGATTAATGATGCTAAAAAACTCAGCTTTGAACACAGCAATAAATTACATTTTAATAACTATTAAAATAGATGTTTAATTGTAATCACAATCACAAATAAATACTGATGAATTCTAATATTAACAAATATAATATTCATTTTAAATCAGGGGAATCACTCAGTACCTCTGACACAAGTTGGATTGTGAGTTGTCTGGATTGTTTAGAAGCCACTGCCATTTCAGTGATACAGTCTTCATCTATATGACCCAACTAAAAAGAACAAACACACAAAGGAAATTATACAGCTAGGAAGTTAAAAACTCTCTAATATTGAATCCATTTAACATAAAAATATTAAGGTCATATGGATCTGTAAAGACTTTAAATGAACTAAAGCAGATATAATTTGTTATAGGTAAGAAATCAACAAGAATAGCAAAAGCTTTAAAGCCCAAAAAATGTCTAACAAGAACAATATTGGCTTCACTTGACTAACTGGATCTTGGAGGCATATAAGCATGTTCATAGAGCTGATCTTACAGGATGTTTACTCTGCCACTCCACTGGTGTGCTGTATCCCTTCATAACCCAAGGGTGATCAAGCAACTGTTTCACGGTCAAACGCCTCTTTGGGTCCACCTGCAGGAGAAGGGAATAAACTACTATGAAATTGTATTTCCTTACCTAAAAACATCAAACAGACACATAAACCATGCACAGTACCTGCATCATCTGGTTTAGAAGCAGAATGCTAGCAGGTGAAAGCCAGTGCGGGTTGCTATATTTGCCTCTCTGTCAAAACACAAGCCAATATTGCACAATACGTGCTATACAAACTTGCTTTTATTTCAGTAACCTAGTAAATGCACGGATTATAAACCGTGGTGGAACACAAATAAACTTACTGTAATTTTTCTGTAGAGGACCATACAATTGTCATCATCAAAGGGTAGAAAACCACACAGTAGAGCGTAAAGCAACACACCCATACTCCACACATCAGCCTGAAACACACGTGCCATGAGATCACGAGTAATACACACGCTTAATTTGTTGTTGCTTTCAAACATGTAGGACATGAAACACATACGGCACACTGACCTCAGAGCCAATGTAAGCCTTGCCCTGAATGAGCTCTGGAGCCGCGTATGCTGGACTGCCACAGCAGGTCAGCAATTCAAAACCCAAACCACCCTAATTACAATTTTTAAAATGCCAATATTTATTTAAAAGCACTGATACATATGGACATATTATTTAAAACAACAAGCTGCTTTACAGCTGAAAATGAAGTAGTTTCATAATTGATGAATTTGCAACATCAACACGGTTATTATTCCTGTTTACTGTCAAGCTGCTTTGAAACAATCTGTATTGTATAAAGTGCCATATAAATGCATGCGACTTGACTTAAAAGAAAACATACATATTAGTAATAGATGGATACACACCTTTGGTTTGGCACAAAGGCCAAAGTCAATGAGTTTAAGGTTATGATCTTCATCGATCAGCAGGTTTTCCTAAGGTCAGTAAGAAACAGTTGTGTCAAGAAAACACTGTTAACTTAATAATTCGCCCCTAAATGAAAATACCATCATCATTTAGTCACCCTCATGTTCTGAATATCCTTCAGTCGGTTTCTTACACCGGGCTATCACATAGCTTCAAAAAGTCTTGGGATACAAGTTGGACCACACTCCTGATAGTGCTTTTGTGTCCTTTTCAAAGCCTTAAAGGAACACTCCACTATTTTTGAAAATAGGCTAATTTTCCAACTCCCCTAGAGTTAAACAGTTGAGTTTTACCGTTTTCGAATCCATTCAGCCGATCTCCGGGTCTGGCGGTAGCACTTTTAAGCCGGGCTCACAC